CAATGGGGTGAGCAGCAAAGGCCCTCAGCACCCCAAAATGGCGGCCCTGGGAGGGCAGCACGACGGGGGCACCCATCCCTTGGGTAGACTGGGGGCTCAGTGCCACCTAACAGTGACACATCCTCAAACCTGGGTGAGCCGGGGTGACACCACCAGCACCCAGCGTCCTTTGGCACCCCAGGGGTAGCTTGTGTGGGACACCAGCAGGTGGCCACAGGGCCATAATGGGTGGCTACAGGGCCGGCTCGCCCCGAGGGCAGCTGCCTGGGCCTTGCTCAGGCACAGAAGGACCAAGACAGCGTTGGGTACCAACAAGCACTTTTATAGAGGGGCCAGGGGGTGGCAGGGCGAGCAGGGCCAGGCCCGGGGCGGCCCGGCCAGTCCCGGCTCAGTCGGCAGAGCAGTCCCCGCAGCACAGCCTCAGCACGGAGGGATGGCTCCTGCCCCGGGGCACAGACAGACACTTAGGGGTGCCAGAGAGGTGCCTACAGCCACTGCCAGCCCCCCACAGCACAGCTCGAGTCCCCCAGGACCCACAGAGCCTCCACTCGCTCCCACTCTGCTCTGACCCCCGGCGGGAGGGTCCCACTGGGGACCTGCTGTTGGGGACTCCCTCAGCACCTCGGGCTGGCTAAAGCAGATGTGGGTGCTGTGAATTCAGCTGATCGGTGAGCAGAGCCCCAGCACCGGCTTTTGCTGGGCCCCTGCTCTGGAGCTGGAGCCTGCAGGGATGCAGGGGCCCCTCCCTGTTGGAGGCAGACATCCCCCCACAGCCAGCCCCAGGGGGATGCAGGATCCCCCTCGGTGCTGGACGGGCCATCTCTGCCCCAGCAGGACGGGGTGGGGGGGAGACACACCCAGCCCAGAGGGGACACGTGGTCTACCTTGCTGCCAGAGCACACCCCTGAGCCCAGCCCCAGCCCTGGGGGCACAGGGGGTCCCCCTCACTGCTGGAACATGCCCCTTAAACCAGCTCCAGCTCTGGGGAGCTTGCTACCTGAACATCCCCACAGCCACTCTGGGGTCACAGGGTGCCCCTCACTGCTGGAATATCCCAGCTAAGACGGACCCAGCCTCGGCATCTGCAGGGCCCCTCACTGCCAGAGCATCCCCAGGCACTCCCAGCCCAAGGGCAGAGGGGGGCCCTTCATCACATCAGGGCTGCCCAGCACAGCACAGCA